TTTCTCCATAACTAGCTCTGTGAGGAAACCCCTGTAAAGAGGATCTGGAATGAGATGCCCCGGCTTTGAAGCAGGTGAAGCCAGGCAAGTCAGTTATCTTCTATGGGCCTCAGTTCCTTCCTTGGTAAAATGGGAAAAAAATCAATATATTTCATAGAACTTTATGGCAATTAAATGAGATTACGTGTGCTAAAGTATTTTGCAGGGACTTCCCTGGTGGGTAAGACCCTGGGGGGAACCAGATCCCACATGCCACAACTAAGACCCGGTGCAGCCAAATTAATTAATTAAAAAAAAATAAAGTACTTTGCAAATGCTTGCCACATGATCAATAGTATTTTTTTTCCTTTGCGTAATCTAAATGTTGGTCCCTCTAATCAAACACCTGCTATAAAGCTGCAAGAAACAAAACCTCCCAAACCAGAAACTTGCTAACACTTACTATTGTCTCCTATGATAAAGCAAAATCTCTTTACAATGACATTTTTTCAAGGGATTCTAAGTTATATCTACCCAAATTATGTCACATTGTTCCATTCCTTACATTTGCCTTGCACTCAGCTGAATTGAACTCTTAACAGTTCCTGGGACTTGCCTTTGTCTTTCCACATTTATACTTTTGCTTTTTCTGTGTCCCCCTGAAATCTCCTCCGCTCCCTGCCTCTGCTGAAATCCTGGTCGGCCTTTTTACATCACAACTGCAAAGCCTCAGCCAGTCTCCTAAATTAGAAGTGAGCTCTCTGATCTTCCAATGCCCCCTTGTGGCACTGACTGCATTCCGCTTTTTTTTTTTTTTTTTTTGCGGTACGTGGGCCTCTCACTGTTGTGGCCTCTCCCGCGCGGAGCACAGGCTCCGGACGCGCAGGCTCAGCGGCCATGGCTCACGGGCCCAGCCGCTCCGCGGCACGTGGGATCCTCCCGGACCGGGGCACGAACCAGTGTCCCCTGCATCGGCAGGCGGACTCTCAACCACTGCGCCACCAGGGAAGCCCAAACATTTTCAATTTTGATGAAGTCTAATTTATCAATTTTTTCTTTTGCTGCTTGTTCTTTTGGCATCATATCTAAGAAATCATTGCCTAACTCAAGGTCATGAAGATTAACACCTATGTCTTGTAATAATTTTACAGTTTTAGCTCTTACATCTAGGTCTGATCCATTTTGAATTAATGTTTGTGTATGATATGAGGGAGTAGTGCAACTGAGCAGGACCCTGTGGGGCCCTCCCAGGTACAAAAGCCTTTACATGTCTCCTGTTTCTTACTTGTAGGAAAAAGGCTTCAGCCTCCTAGACTTTCCCTGAGTTCCAAAATGCAGATTCAAACAGTTACTAATTAGGAAAGGGAGGGAATGCAGAACCAAAGGAAAAACAGTCAAGAAACAATAGTGGGCTTCCCTGGTGGCACAGTGGTTAAGAATCTGCCTGCCAGTGCAGGGAACACGGGTTTGAGCCCTGGTCCGGGAAGATCCCACATGCCATGGAGCAACTAAGACCGTGCGCCACAACTACTGAGCCTGTGCTCTAGAGCCCGTGAGCCACAGCTGCTGAGCCCACGTGCCACAACTACTGAAATCCGTGCACCTAGAGTCTGTGCTCCGCAACAAGAGAAGCCACCGCAATGAGAAGCCTGCGTACCGCAACGAAAGTGTAGCTGCCGCTTGCCACAACTAGAGAAAGCCTGCACACAGCAACGAAGACCCAACACAGCCAAAAATAAATTAATTAATTTATTTTTTAAAAAGGAACAATACTACAGCAGTAAAGCAGAGTCCTAGTTCCTCCTCAAGGGATATACATAACAATACATTGGAACTTCCCTGGGGTCCAATGGGTAAGACTCTGCGCTCCTAATGCAGGGGGCCCAGGTTCGATCCCTGGTTGGGGAACTAGATCCTGCATGCGTGCTTCAACTAAGAGTCTGCATGCCGCACCTGAGAAGTCTGCATGCTGCAACTAAGAGTCCACGTGCCACAACTAAAGATCCTGCATGCCACAACTAAGACCCAGCGTGGCCAATATAAACAAATAAAATAATAAACAAACAAATAAATAAAACAATATATCTTTGAGTTCTTCTGCAGAAACTAAGGCCCCCACCCAGGTGGAGGATGGTAACTTCAGGCTGAGGACAAGATTCCTGGATCACCGCCCTGTTACCTCACCACCAGGCAATCGGAAGAAAGTCACACACTCTGCAGCCCTAACCACAAATTTTGCCTTTCCCTGAAAACTATCTAGGAGTTCGGGTCTTTTGAGCACTAGCCACCCCTTCTCCTTGCTTGGCCCTTGCAATAAAACTTTCTCTGCTCCAAACTCCAACATTTTGGTTTGTTTGACCTTACTGTGCATCAGGGACACAAACTTGGGTTCAACAAAAGGGGGTATAAACTCATCCTTTTGCATGTGAATATCCAGTTGTCCTAAAACCATTTGGTAAAAAAACTTTTCTTTTCTCATCACACTGTCTTGGTACCCTTGTCAAAAATCAATTGCCCAGGGAGTTCCCTGGTAGCCTAGTGGTTAGGATTCAGCACTTTCACTGTGGAGGCCCGGGTTTGATCACTGGTTGGGGAACCATCCCATGTGCCAAGTGGCATGGCGTGACCAAAATACAAAAAAAATAAATAAAAATAAAAATCAATTGCCCATAAATGCAGAGGTTTATTTTATTTTTGGATTCTTGATTCTATTCCATTGAGCTATGTGCTTATCTCTCTTTCAAATTTACAACACATTGGATCAAGCGTCATTCTACATGTTATGAGGACAACAGCTTTTCCCCACTGCCAGGGGG